TGGGGGGGGGCAGGGAGGGCAAGGGTGGTGGGATTAACAGTAGTCAATATCTATCAGGGGATGGGGAGACACCCCTTATCAACAAGGGTGCCTGAATGATACATATTGGTATACCTAACCCTTAACTGTACCTCACAATTTTAAAATAAAAAATATGTTTTAAAAAATAAATAAATAAAGTGTGCTTTCTGATTTTAAAATGTTTTTTGTTTTTCCATATTTTTTTGTTTTCCTTTATTTGGAATACTATTTGTATAATGGCTTATGTGTTTTGCAAACACTTTTCTATTTTATAATTTTTTCTTTTTACTTCATGGTGTCTTAATTTTAATGTGGTTAAATGTATACATCTTTATCTTCATAACGAAATATAATAAACATTTTCTACCTTAAGATATGTTATATTTTACCTTCTATGATGTGTTCCTTCTCTATTTTCCTATTCTCTTGCCTTTGAGTTCTTCTTTTCTTATTAAACCTACTACTAAACCTACAATAGATTACTGCATATAAGCACATATTTTCAGAGATCCTAGATCCTAGTTTTTGATGTTGTTGTTTTGCTTCTTTATTTGTTTTGGCTATTGATTCCCAAAAAGCTGTCAGCATTGTACTAACTAATCCTAATGTGGCATTTTTCCTCCTGGCAGATGATTGTGATGATCCTCTTGTGTCTGCCTTGCCTCAGGCATCATTCAGCAGTTCTTCTGAGCTCTCCAGCAGTCATGGTCCTGGATTTGCAAGGCTAAATAGAAGAGATGGTAAGTCTGCTTTTCTCCTCTGATTGGTCCAATAAAATCACTATAATTGATATATTGTAAAAAGGAGCAAACTTCTAAATAAGCAAATGGTTAAGACTCATGACATGTATGTGACATCTAGCTTTTGTTTTGGAGTGGCAAAAGGGTACATCATACGTTTCAGTATCCAAAGAACTGAGTTCCTTCAATCTGGAAAGCTTTTTATATAACTTATAAAATAAATTTTTAAAAATAATATACAATAATGATGTATACAGTAGTAATGAAAACTTAATTGACCTTCTATTTCAAGTTAAACAAAGAAGTCTGCCAGAAGGAATTTTAAAAGACGCTAGTTATTAAAAAATAATAACCCCTAGGTTTTGTTAATTCTCAGTGTGGTTTACATGATTTTTCTTTCCTATTCTATAATTATAGAAACATAACAAGTTTTTCCTGCTCCTTTAGGAATACTCAGTTCACATTGTTTACTATCTCTTAGGTAGATTGTGTTTGATCACTTGACTATGTTTAAAGGAAAGTAAAGATAATTAAATGGCATCTTGCTGTAAAAATAAGAGAGAATTTCAAAACACTTTGTGCTTAGAGACCGTATTCTTGTGATTGTTTTTCATAATATGCTAAAGTAAAAGTAATCTACACATACGTTGGAGGAAAAGAGTCTTTGCAATATTAATGCAGAAAACATTTTGTAACAAAATAGACACCAACATTATGTATTGTTAAATCCATGCTTCATATATTATTCCCTTCTCTCATGCTGTATCAGTCATCCACTTATTTTAATTTTACTCCTTGGTGTTATCTTTTGTGCTTTTGCTTAATGTTTGTGCACATTGGACATCACAGATTGTGTGTGTGTGTGTGTGTGTGTGTGTGTGTGTGTGTGTGTGTATTTTGCCATTTGGTACTATATATACATATAAAAAACACAGTTATAATTGTAATATAGATATTCGTATAGCATTTTGACATGATTTTAAGTTTAAATTTATTTAAAAATATTATCTAATATTATTTGTGATATCCACTTATATGTGCTTCTGAATGGAGATATCAATGGAGAATAATAACTGAGATCCTTGTATCAAATGGGAAATTGGGGGAAATACTTCAATTTGCGTAGATAATGCTATTCTGTTCCTTTTAGATGCTTTGTAGTGAGAGTTAGCCAACACACAGGACTGTCTCTCTCCATTTGCTGTTCTGAATCCCTGACTGATCAGGCAGGTGGGCTTTCCGGGCCTTTCTGACGGCCATTCCAGATCTTGCGCTTATGGTCCCAGCAGCAGATGCTATCACATGTTGATCTTAGAACATGGTTTCCATCCATCCTTTATTCCTCTTTGAAAGGAAAGCAGTTTTATGCTTGCCACTATTTCATTTGAGTCATAAAAGCATTCACAAAACGTGGTCCTCTGAAAGAGACACAAAATTTTAATTTATCTATATATTTTTATTTCCTTTGTTTAGGTTCAATAAATCACAAAACTATATGTTATTATTTGATCAAATCATATTTTCATTAATTTATGTACTCATCAGGAGTCTCCATCAGTGGGACTCATTTTCATTCTTAATTCATTTCTGTGGCTCTTGGTAAAGCACAATATCAAACTTCATGAATCTCATTTACATGTTAATGAAACTGAGAAACAAAACAGGATCATTTTAATTATCTTTTGCTGGTTGTCAACCTACTTGATTACATTTTTCTTTTTTTATTTAGTTTTTCTTTTTTTCCTCTATTAATTACATGAAGTTTTCATAAAAGAACATCCAATTTTGAGTGATTTACTAAAGATTATATTTTATTTCTAGTATTGAAACATTCCTTATAGTATTTCAATCAGGCTGGGAAAGGGTGTTCAGGCAAATCAGCAAATTGTGCATAAATCAACTAAACTAGCAAATAAAAGTCTTAGTATTTTAGATATACAGATAGAGTGGCTTCTTTTCTATAGAGTCTGAAAATCTTAGCGCCAAATAATGAAAAGAAAGGAAATGAAGAAACTACCCACTAGTTTTCCATCTGTGGGATAAAAAATGACATGGATAATACTGTGAAATGGACTATGGCCCCATTCTGAGGGAAAGGGATCAAGAAAAGGCTACGGTTAAACATAATGATTCCATTTATACCACTAGGGAGGGAGAAAAATTTACTTTTTTGAGGTATACTAATTTAATTTTGCCACATGAGTTCTGCTGTGGCTTGAATTGTAGCCTTCAAAGCAATGTTTAAGTCCTAACTTAGATACTTGTGAATATGACCTTATTTGGACACAGAATCTTTTAAATTTTTATTATTTCTGTATTTTGATAGCTTTAGGGGGTACAAATGGTTCTTGGCTACATGGTGGCACTGCATAGTGGCCAAGAAGTCTGGGTTTTAAGTGTACCCACCACCCCCACCTGTTTCCAAACAAGATTTATTAGAGAAAGAAGAGAGAAAATAAAGAGTGACATGCCAGAGCTGCCATGGGTGAAAGAAACCGCCAATTGGTGATTTTTTGTCCTTTCACTTCTTCCCATTCTCCCTCTTCTGTGCTGTCCCCGCCGCATACTGGCACAGGTCTGTGGCCTGATAGGAACCGTGCAGCACAACAAGAAGTGAGCGGTAGGAGAGTGGAGCTCTGGCTTCAGTCAGATCAGCATCCCTGGCAGCATTAGATTTCCATAAGAGGCAACCCTATTGTGAACTGAGCATGCAAGGGATCTAGGTTACCCGCTCCCTATGAGTATCTAATACCTGATGATACCACCCCTCTCTTGTCACTCCCCAGTCCGTGGAAAATCGTCTTCCATAAAATCAGTCCCTTGTGCCAAAAAAGGCTGGGGGCCGCTGCTTTATATCATTCTCTATGCCTTTGCAGATCTTTAGTTTAGCTCGCACTTATAAGTGAGGACATGTGGTGTTTGGTTTTCTGTTCCTGAATTAGTTTATTTAGGTTGATGTTCTCCAGTTCCATTCAAGTTGTAGCAAAAGACACTATTTCATTATTTTTGGTAGCTGAGTAGTATTTCATGTATTCCATATACATATATATTTCATTACATAAATACATAACATTTCCATTATCCACTAATTGGTTGATGGGCGTTTAGGTTGATTCCACATCTTTGCAATTGTGAATTGTGCTGTGATGAACATGTGGGTGCAGATATCTTTTTTGTATAATGATCTTTGTTTCTTAGGGTAGATAACTAGTAGTGGGATTGCTGGATCAAATGGTAGATCTACTTTTAATGCTTTGAGAAATCCCCATACCAAGTTCCATAGAGGTTGTACTAATTTACACTCCCACCAGCAGTGTATAAGTGTTCCCTTTTGTCTGCATCCGTGTCAGCATCGATTCTGTTTTTAATAATGGCCATTTTGATAGGTGTAAGGTGGTATCTCGCTGTGGTTTTAATTTGGATTTCCCTGATGATGAGTGGTGTTGAACATTTTTTCATATGTTTGTTGGCCATTTGTGTATTTCCTTTTGAGAGATGTTTGTTCATGTGATTTGCTCACTTTTTGATGGGATTGTTTGCTTTGTTCTTGCTGATTTGAGTTCTTTGTAGATTCTGGATATTAGTCCTCTTTCAGATGTATAGTTTGTGAATATCTTCTCCCATTCTGTAGGTTGCCTATTCGCTCTGTTGATTATTTCTTTTGCTATGATGAAACCTTTTATTTGAGATAAGTCCCACTTATTTATTTTTGTATTTGTTACACTTGCGTTTGGAGTTTCAACCGTAAATTCTTTGGCTAGGCTTATGTCTGTGAGAGTTTTTCCTAGGTTTTCTTCTAGGATTTTTATGGTTTCAGGTCTGACATTTAAGTCTTTAATTCATCTTTAGTTAATTTTTGTATATGGGGAGAGATAGGGATCAAATTTTATTCTTCTGCATGGACATAGAGATATAATCAAATTAAAATGAAGTTATACTGGATTGAGAAGGGTGCCCAAAATCCAATTTCTGTGTCTTTATAAGGAGAGTGAGATATGGGGATTCACAGAGACACAGAGGAGATAGAGAGTAGACAATGTGAAGATGAAAGCAGACAGTAGAGTGATGCAATTACAAATCAAGAAATGTCAAGGAATGACAGGAGTCATCAGAATCTAAGAAAGGCAAAGGATTCTTCTCTAAAGCCCATTCCCTACCGACGCCTTGATTTTATGCTTCTAGCTTCCATGAAGTGAGAAAATAAACCTCATTTAAGAGCCCAGTTTGGAGTACCTTATTACCGTATCCTTAGCAAACCAATACAGATTTTGGTATAAGAAATTTAGTGCCATTGGAGTTAATACCTAAAAATATGGAAGTGGCTTTGGTATTGAGTAATGGGCAAAGCCTGAAAGAATTTAAGGCACAAGAGAGAAAAAACCTGAATTGTCTTGAAAAGTCTATAGTTGTAAATATGGTGTTTTAAAATACATCTGGCAAGGACTCAGGAGGAAAAGAGGATCATGTTATTGGACATTAGAAGAAAGGCAATTCTTGTTATAAAGTGGTGGAAAACTTGACTGAATTGTACCTTACTGGTGGGTAGAGAATAGAACTTGTAAGCAATAAACTTGAATATGTACCTGAGGAGATTTTCAAGCAAAATATAAAAGGTGTTCCTTGGTTTCTTCTTTAAGCTTATAGCAAAATGTGGGAAGAAAGAGATAAATTGAGAAAGGAGCCAGGTGCGATGGCTCATGCCTGTAATCACAGCACTTTGGGAGATAGGTGAGAGGATTGCCTGAGTACAAGGGTTCAAGACCAGCCTGGGCAACTCGATGAGACCTCGTCTCTTAAAAAAAATTAGCCGTATGGGGTGGCACATGCCTGTTGTTCCAGCTACTTGGAAGGCTGAGGTGGAAGGATCGTCTGAGCCCAGTAGGTTGAGACTGAGGTGGCCATGAGTGTGCCACTTCACTCCTGCCTGGGCAACAGAGTGAGACTCCGACTCAAAATAATAATAATAATAATTGAGAAAGGAGCTGATAAGCAAAAAAGGA